AGGAATGCACAGGAACGGAGTTCCGGCTGGCTTCAGAGTTGGCCATGCCCACTACAGCCGAAACCTCTGCGTGAGTGGCTATCAGAAACCACACCTCCACCCCAGCCAGCTGTGATCAAATCCATTCCCTCTAAGGGCTGGTTTCCCTGGGCTTCCCACAGCCACGGGACGCCCGGGCAAGCCAAGGGAAGGCATGGGGGTGTGGCCTACTAGGCTAATGAACTGTGCTGTCAGGGGTGTGGTCTAATATGCTAATGAGTTTCTGCTGTTGGGTGTGGCCTGTTATGCTAATGAGTTCCTGCTGGGCTTTTTCTACAAAAAAAGCCCTGGATGTGGCACATTTCTGTTATACTGTCTTTTTAAATGTTTAAAAAATTTTAAAGTTTAAATTAGATTCTTTTTTTATGGCGTATGGCCTATAGGCTCTTAAACCAAATAAACTGAACTGAACCGAAAAAAAGAAAGGTGGAAGTCTATCTATTTATTCATTTTGAAAGAAAGCAAATAGATGGGAAGGGGGAGGGAGAGGTGGAAAGAAAGCGGCTTTAACTTTAAATGCATCTTCCAAGGTCCCCATGCCGCCCCTGTAGGCTTTCTAGAAGGGATTTAAAGAGACAGATGCCTTCTCCAAGATGGCCAGTGGGAGGGGGGGAGGTCTTTAAGAATGTATTTAAAGTTAAAGCTGCTTTCTTTCTCTGCTTTCCCCCACCTCAAGCCTACCCAGGGAGGGGAACACTGGCTGGGGAAGGGAAGACCAATCGGGGAGGTATGCCTCCCTTTCGCTTCCCCAGACGCCCTGCTGGGAGCCACACAATATGTATGAAAGAGCCGCACGTGGCTTCCGAGCCACAGTTTGGCCACCCCTGGTCTGGAGGATTAGAAAGCACCCGGGCTTGCGGTTCCATTCCACCTTCAGGTTTCCTGATTTTGATTCTCCCTTCTCTTTCACCTGGGCTTCCATATATTTCTTTTTGTTCCCCTCCTGCGATTCTTTTTCAAAAATCAAGGAGGGAGATATTGTTTGGCTCCGCCTTTTGTGGCAGCCATTTTGTCTTCGGCTCCACCCCTTATCGCAGCCATTTCGGGGGGCGGTGCTCAAAGGTGCTCGGAATCTCAAAGGTTCCCACAGGCTAAAAAAAACTCAGGGACCCCTGCTCGAAGCAACACAATATATTTTTTTAAATGCTGAAGTTTTCCAGGGGAAAATATTGTAGCAGAAAATATTCTACTGCCATGGTCTAGTGAAGCCATTATTCTGACTGGCTTGGCTGGCATTCCCTCATCGATGAACTTCTTACATGTTGGCTCCTATAGAGCTGTGTGTCTAAGCATCCTCTGCCTTCTCGGCTTTGCTTTGGGAAAGGCAGAACAGAAGAGGAGAAGAAGAAGAAGAAGAAGAGATTGGATTTCTACCCCGCCCTTCACTACCGAAAGGTGTCTCAGAGCGGCTTACAAACTCCTTTCCCTTCCCCTCCCCACAACAGACACCCTGTGAGGTAGGTGGGGCTGAGAGAGCTCTTGACAGAAACTGCTCTTTTTTCAAGAACAGCTCTTATCAGAACTGCAGCTTGCCCAAGGGTCATCCAGCCAGGCGCAAGTGGAGGAGCGGGGAATCAAACCCGGTTCTCCCAGATCAGACTCCGCGCACTTAACCACTACACCAAACTGGCTCTGTTCTCTGTTCTCTCTCCTTCCTGCCCCCCGTCAGCAAAGTGTAGCTCCCAGTAAATCCGAGTTGAGTTTCCAGAGTGAGATGCTTCCAGTTCAGCAGCTGCAGCCAGTCTTGGATGAAGGGAGCCGCGCTGGTGCTCTGCTAACCAGAATCAGGACTGAAGCCCAGGGTTGTCAGCTTGGCATGTCGTACTGGAGCTCTGCCGCCCTTCTGCAAATGCAGTTACCAAAAAAATCTCTTCTGTCTTGCAGCGGCAAGTTGGTTTCACCCAAGTGGAAGAATTTCAAAGGTTTGAAGCTTCAGTGCAGGGACAAAATCCGGCTCAACAACGCCATCTGGAGGGCGTGGTATATCCAGTGTAAGTATGGCTACCCAAAACCTGCTTTAGGAAGGTCCGTGCGTCAGCTGGCAACGCGCAGGAGGCTTAAGGTCCTTCACTCATCAGGATTCTACCCTTGGTTGTCCACCCTCACTGGTGGTAGAAGTGAATGACCAAGCAGGGGAAATCCAGCATTTTCTTCAACATGGCATCTCCCCCAGTACAGTCATTCCCTTCTACGAGCAGCGGCCCTCCATTCAAATAACCATGTGCTCTTTCCAGACCAATCATTTAACTTCAGGGAGGGAGGCTGGGGGTACGAAGGCAGCTGTGCAAATCAGGGGTCTGCTCCTGACCAACGCTCCCTCTAAGCTGTGGCATCTTGTGAGCAAAAATTCAACTTTGTGAGCGACTGACATTCAAGTTGTGAGCGGGCCATTTGGCTGCTGCAAAAAAATAGTTTGCTCTGGAGCCATCCTTCTCTGAGCTAAGACAAAAAGGTGTGAGCCGGAGGCTAAAAAACTGTGAGCTAGCTCACACTGACTCAGCTTAGAGGGAACACTACTCCCAACCTCCATATAGGTAGTCGGGGGTGGCGTGGTGCTGGCTGTGAATGAACAGGCTTTGAGATCAGAAGTTCTTGCTGCTCAGAAGGTTCTGACTTATAGCACCTACAGAAGTTAAAAGTCAGTTCCACTATCTGTGCTCCCCCTGCTCTTTATGCCGTATGGGCAGGGGAGCGCACAGTTCTGATTGTGCAGCGGCTGAATCGCTGCTCTGCGACTTCCTCAGGGCAGTGGTTCAATCTGACCCTTGTGCCGCCTCCTCTTCAGACATCCCTTCTTGTTCCCATTTGTGTTGTAGATCTAGAGAAGCGGAAGAACCCCGTCTGCCATTTTGTGACTCCCTTGGATGGTTCCATGGAGGTGGACGAGCACCGTCGCCCTGAGGTATGGCCCAAAGGAGCACCAGGAGAAGATGATCTGACTGTGTATTGTGGGCTGGTTGTTGATTCACGTGCCTGGCATTGTTTCCTCCTCTCTGGGGTTTCGGTGCAGAAAACACAGTCGAACAGCAAAACAGTAACAGCGGCCATAACACAACAGAAAAGTAAAGTACCACAGAGCCTAATGTAGTATACAGAAAGCATTAAAAGGCACAGCAAAAAGTATTAAAAAGCATGGCGTACATTGAAAAGATGTTAGCAGTACAGTTGAATAAAATCAAGAGTTTGATTAGAAATCATAGAAATCATGGAAGGGATCTCCAGGGTCATCTAGTCCAACGGACAAATCAACAACTTATAAAATGTCTGAAAAAATACAGATTTGTTGACCTGGTTCTGAGAAGAAATTAAGCAATCCACAAAACCAAAATAGGACTCACGGTAAGTAGGAAATACCAAAAAATCAGCAAATACCGCCCTACAGATAATTACAAGGTATCTCAAGTAATTTTTATATATTTATTCGTTTTTATATATATTTTTTATATTTTTAATTTTTTTCTTATAAATTATTCACCATTATATTAACTGTCACATAAACATTATCACACAGAAAGAATCCTGTATCCAAAATTTTAGTATCATCTTTTTATATAACAAAAGATCCTGCACAACCCCTTTATTAATACCAGTCCTCCTTACTTGTACAAAAGTTTTAGAGGGAGGACTCCTTTAAGTCTATTTTGAACAGAGGTCCAGATATCCTCCTGTTTCAGGGTCTTCCTCAGGGAGTTCAACAGATATTTCCAAACACAAAGTTGCCAAATACCAAGGTATTTATCCAAATTTCACCAATGAACGCTGCAGAAAGTCTCTCTTTGTGAGCTGAAGGCTTCCTTCAAAGTGAAAAGCAACGAATAAATATAAAAAAATTACTTGAGATCAGTGTTCCCTCTAAGCTGAGTTAGTGTGAGCTAGCAAAGAGTTTTTAAGCCTCCGGCTCACACATTTTTGTCTTAGCTCAGGAAGGACGGCTCCAGAGCAAACTAAGTTGTGAGCAGACCAAATTGCTCACTCACAGCTTTAATGCCAGTAGCTCACTATGGCTCAGTGGCTAGAACGCCTGCTTTGCATGCAGCAGGTCCCAGACTCAGTCCCTGGTGTCTGTGGTTGATGGTGCTGAGATCTGGAAGAGCCGGTCAAGAGGAGGCAACACCAGGCAAGATGGCTTGGACCTTGGTAATAATATATATATATATTTTCCTTTTATTTCTCAGGCTATCGCAACAGAAGGGAAATACTGGAAACGGCGAATAGAAATAGTCATCAGAGAGTATCACAAGTGGAGGACCTATTTTAAGAAAAGGGTGAGCTTGTTTCCAGAACAAATATTTTAATTTAATAAATTTATTTAATTAATTCGATTTGTATCCCCCCCTCCCTGCTGAGGCAGGCTCAGGGCGGCTCACACTGAAAAGTTAAAATACATTAAAACACAATATGACGTCATAAAATCTCAACAAATCACAAATACAGTTAAAGTGCTGGTGGCGATAGAAGCCCACTAAACCATGATAAAATGATAACGTATGACCGCAGTCTGTGTCCAATGTATCACTGGCTGTTGGTGTTGATATAAAGGGCCTTAGTTGTTATTGGTAGTGGCTCCTAATCTGGTGGAAGAGCTCAGTTTTACAGGCCCTGCAGAACTGTAAAAGGTCCCACAAGGCCCTGATGTTTTCTGGGAGCTCATTCCGCCAGTGTGGAGTGCTTTAGTTTACCATGAATTCACTATCGATTTTGCTATTAAAAATCAAGCAGCATTTGTAGAGTTAGGACACTTAGCACTTCCGTAGCGCATCAGAAAGTTAGCATATATTTACAATACAACCATTATTGTGTTGCAGATGAGAACTGAGAAAGAAAGAAATGAGCCGCCTGCCTCTGGCCGCATAATGCGCTTGTGGCAAAAACAGGGTGAGGCCAGGGAGTCCCTGGTCCATTGCTCAGTCTCTTACAGCACAGTCCCAAGCAGAGTTATCATTTTCTTTTTTAAAAATGTATTTTTATTTGTATAAAATGAACAAACATACATAAATACATAAAAGAGAGATTCTGGCTATACCATTTTAACCATTATTTTTGATATCTTATTGTATTCTAGAAATTCTTGTTATTATTTTTTCCCTCCATACAATTATACTAGTAAGCAAAGCCCATTGTGGCGGTAGACAACGGGCCCTAGATAGGAAGGAAGGGCGGGTGGAAGGGAGGAATGGAGAAGAGGAGGTAGAGAGAGAGAGAGACAGAGTTAGAGAAGGGGGGAGAGAGAGAAAAAGGGAGAGAGAGGGAAAGAAGAGAGATTGAGAGAGTGAATGGGATGAAGGAAAGAAGGAGGGAAGAAGGGCAGAGAAAGAAAGAGAGGGGGGAAACAGAGCGAGAGAGGGAGAAAGTGTGGATGGGAGAGAGAGAAAAAGGAAGAAGGGGGGAGGGGAGAAGTGGGGCGGGGGGCGGGCGGGCGAGCTTCTCTTGTCTGCCTGGGTTGGCGGGCGGCGGGAGAAGCGAAGGGGAGGGGTTTTGGGTAAGATCTAGTCTTGCAATCCGGAGCAAGAGAGAATAGATCTGTTCCATCTTCTACATGACAGCCCTTCAAATATTTGAAGACTGCAATCATGTCCTTTTCTAAGTCCACTGAAGTCAGTCAGCTCAGAAAGGTGTATCTCTGTCTAGGATTGCACTGATGGGCACTGTGCCAACCTGTAAACTTTTGGGATGGCGAACGATCTCCCGTGTTCAAATTTATTCGCCCTGTTAACACTGGAACTCCCCAGTTGAGATTGTGGAGTATGCAACTCAGTCTTCATCTGGAAGAATTCCTTGCCCCAATGGGGGCTCCAGAGCCTGGCCCCTCCCAAACGATCTTGCCGTTCTCAATAACCATCTTTTCGTTTCCTTCTCCAGTTGCAGAAACACAAAGATGAAGACCTCTCCATCTTGGTTCGGGTAGGTGTCACGTCAGCCCTTGTGTGTTTCTCTTCGAGTCAGTCTCAGAGCTGTACCCCAGGATGTACCTAGAAGACCGAGGCCCAGCACTGTTTACGGTTGATTGGGCGGAGGCATTTGTTGGGGGAAGCTTTTTAGGCTTAAAATGGAGAGCAGTGCAGAGCTATGAACGGGAACGAAGGTATGTGCCGCGAACACCAAAGGAGTTGGCTGACCCTGATTATTGATCCAGTGAAATCCCATTTAGGTAGCAGCGGTGCTAGAATTCTGAAAGGGGCAGTACGGGGGGAGATCTTAATAAAATCCACAGGCCCCCACCCCCCAGATAGAGCTGCGGAGGCCAAAAGTGTGCCCTCCCCATAACCTGCTAAAAGCAATAGCCACGGAGGGGGTATCGGAAAAACGTCAGGGACTGCCTGCCTCCCGGCACTCCTACAATTCATGTACCGCTTACCCAAGCCCGGGTGGCCCTTGCGTCGCTCTCCTGGGCGACAGCCCCGTGAGTGGAATCGTCCACGTCTGCTCCTGCGAGCCCAGGCACCGTTAGGGAACTGAGATGCAAACCCCTCTCTCCCCGTTCGTCTCGGAAGAAACGACATCCCAAATGGGCCATACCAGGCTTGCTCTTGCGGATGCGTTGCTTCTCTCTCAGGCCTGTGAGGAATCACAGGAATTGCCGGATAAGCCCCACTCCGGGGTTTTGTCTTCAGTGTTCCTCTCCTCTCCCCCACCCCTCGGCAGGATGACGACATGTTACTGTGGCATAAGGACACGTATGGCCGGGAGACTCCTGTCCCCATGGAACTGGACTCCTTCTTCTCTACAGACATGCTCATGTCGGAACTGCCGGACACCCTCTTCTCCACGCTGTCTTCTCACCAGCCGGTTTCCTGGCCGAATCCCAGGGAGATAGGTACGCCCTGGCTCTTTTCTTCCCGCTTCCTTCGTGTTTTTTTTCCTGGCTGGACCAGGCCACTTGCCTCTTTCGGTCCAAGTGGGCTTCCATTAGCTGGTTGGCCTGGCTGACGGAACTCCCTCTCTAGGCATGTTTGCCCAGTGCTGGCTGCATTGGGCTTTCATGGCCTTAATTAAGGGTGTCAAGAGAGCCTAGGGTCTGAAACTCACCCCTGAAAGAGTGATTATAGTTGAACTTCCAGCATTCTTGTTGTGTTGATTTTTATAAAACAACCCATAAGATTCTGAACTCGTGTCCAGGTTCGAGAAGAAGAGATTGGATTTATACCCCGCCCTTCACTTGGAGTCTCAAGTGGCTTACAGTCCCCTTCCTTTCCTCTCCCCACAACAGACACCCTGTGAGGTTGGGGGGGGCTGGGAGAGCTCTTTCCAGAACTGTCCTTGAGAGAACAGCTCTGAAAGAACTTATGACTGACCCAAGGTCACACCAGCAGCTGCATGTGGAGGACTAGGGAATCAAACCTGCTTCTCCCAGTTTAGAGTCCGCACACTTAACCACTACACCAAACTGGCTCTCAGAGAGAGCTCTCAGAGAGGAGTAGGGTCCAGCTGGGAGAAGGAGAGCTGAGGGGAGGGTTGGGAAGCTGAGCAGTTAGCCCAATTTCAGTTTCGCTTTCAGGAGGAGGAGGCTGAGCTCAGTGCAGGAGGGCTGCTGTTGGCTTTGCCCCAATACTCCCTGGGCGAGCTTGAGCCAGTTGCTGCCGCTTAGCATAAACTGGTAACTTGAGCCAGTTTGGTGTAGTGGTTAAGTGCGCGGACCAGGGGTCATTTCCTGCAGGAGCAGAGCTCCGGCAGCAAAGAGCCCAGGGGACGGGCACATACATCAAGCCCCACCCCCTGCTCCCAGCAGCCCTCAGTCAGAGCAAGAAGCAGCCAGGTAGGTTGCAGAGCTCACCCGGCCCCCTGGTCCAAAACAGTCCAGTGGCACCTTTAAGACCAAGGTTCAGTCAGACAGCTCTCCCTCCTCTGTGAGGGCAGATCTGCACATCTCATCCCCCCCAATAGCTAGCAATCCAAAACAGTCCAGTGGAGCCTGAGCAGTGGGTGTTGCCTTCTGGCACACTTCCGGTGATGTCAGGGGGTGTGGCATATGCAAATAAGTTATGCTAATGAGTTATGCTAATGAAGCCCTGCACCTCTTTTTCTACAAAATGACCCCTGGCACGGACTCTAATCTGGGAGAACCGGGTTTGATTCCCCACTCCTCCACTTGCACCTGGCTGGATGACCTTGGGCAAGCCATAGTTCTCTCAGAGCTGTCCTTGAAAAAGAGCCGTTCCTGTCAGAGCTCTCTCAGCCGCACCTACCTCACAGGGTGTCTGTTGTGGGGAGGGGAAGGGAAAGGAGTTTGTAAGCCACTCTGAGACTCCCTTGAGTAGTGAAGTGCGGGGTTATGAATCCAATCTCTCCTTTCCTCTTCTTCTTCTTCTCCCTACCAGTTGTCTGAATAGGAAGGGGCTGGCCTCATCCCTGGCCATAGATGCAGACTGCCTGCAGAGTCTGGGGTTGGCTAACTCCCCCTGTGGGAAGGGTGTTTCCCTGATCACACAGCCCCTTCCACATGTCTGGGATTCCGGGCAAACAGACCTTAGTTTAGATATGAAGTACCCATTCCTCCTTAGCAGGGCAGTAAGTGTGCACAAGTGTATTTCAGGGCCAGCGTCCGCATAGCCTTTTGTGGGGAAGCTCTCAGGACTCCTGATGGGGGACAACTGCCGCCGCCACCGCCTTTCTGCACACTCCGAAGTGCTCTGCCACCCATGCTCCTAATTGCTCATAATCGTTGGGTGCATGGAGGCGGTGGCAAAACAGCTTTGCACGTGCCAGCCAGGGCTGTGTGCAGGCAGCAGAGCATAGTCAGTGGGAGGGCAGACGAGAGGGAGACGTTGGGAGGCACCCGGGTGGAGGGCAGGAAAGGTATGAGGGGCGCCTGGTGGTGGGCGGATGGGACCCCCGGGCACCGTCTGCCCAGGGCCCCTCAAAACCTGGAACCAACCATGGAGCGTATTTAAAGCGCCAGATTAAATCTTGAATGCAGGCCTCCAGGCCCTGTAAAGGTCCCCTTTGAGCCATGGCAAGATGCAGAGGAGCTGCGTCTCCTGGCAGAAGAGCTGGATGGCGTGTCCGTGGGACCACCCACTAAATCCCACCCCCACCCCAAGGAGGTCCACAGAAACATATCGGGAATTTTCTGCGCAACTACTTGTTATACCTTTAGAAAAGAGCTGGAGTCCAGGAGCACCTTGAAGACTAAAAAAAACTGTGGTAGGGTTTGAGCTTTTGTGAGTCACGAAAGCTCCTCCCCTGCTACAAATGTTGTTAGTCTTCAAGGTGCTGCTGGACTCTTGCTCTTTTCTACTGCTACAGACAAACTAACGTGCCTCTTTTTATACCTTCTTTGTGTGTGAATCTTCCAGCTCACTTAGGAAACGCCGACATGATTCAGCCGGGACTTAGTCCTCTCCAGCCCAATTGCATGGATACTTTTGAATTTTTTCAGGGTAAGAATTCTTTTTTTTCTTTTTTTTTGGAATGAACATGCTTAATTTGCCAATGTAACAGCACCGCTCTCTGCTGACAGTGTTTTTAAGCACTTATATCATAGAATCATAGAATCGCAGAGCTGGAAGGGGCCGTACAGGCCGTCTACTCCAACCCCCTGCTCAGTGCAGGATCAGCCTAGACCCTAGAGCATCCCTGACAAGTGTTTGTCCAGCCGCTGCTTAAAGACTGCCAGTATCCAGAAACAGGAAGTTGTGCTAATGTGAGTGGTCTTGTTCTTGAAGAGAGCCTCCCAGTTTTGTGTCGAGCGGTGATAACTGTACTAACCAGGGAAGGTCCTTAAAGAAGAGTTCCGGCCGTTCAGCTGCTCTTGGTGTTTGCTTGTGGTTAACGTAACAGCAAGCCAGCAAAACCTCTTGGTGGTCCCTGGCCCGAAAGACATCTGTCTTGCCTCAACCAGGGACGGGGCTTTTTCTGCCGTGGCCCCTGCCTGGTGGAACATGCTCCCTATTGAGATCAGGGCCCTGTAGGATCTTCTTCAATGCCGCAGGGCCTGCAAGACGGAGCTGTTCCACCAGGCCTTCGGTTGAGGCAGCGGACGTCCATATATGGCCTCCCTGGGGTGGTTGTCACCCATTTGAACAACTGCTGGCCAGTATTCCCTCTAAGCTGAGTTAGTGTGAGCTGGCTCACAGTTTTTTAGCCTCTGACTCACAGGTTTTTGTCTTAGCTCAGGAAGGATGGCCCCAGAGCAAACTGATTCATACTGTAGCCAAATCGCTCGCTCACAGCTTTAATGCCAGTAGCTCACGAAGTAGAGATTTTGCTCACAAGACTCCACAGCTTAGAGGGAACATTGCTGCTGGCCTTTATCTACATCTCATTATAGGCCAGAACCTCTCACAACCGTGTATCAAGGAAGCCAAGCTGGCGACAACCAGGGCCAGGGCTTTTTTGGTGGCGGCTCCACTCTGGTGGAATGAGCGCCCAGAGGAGACCAGGGCCCTGCGGGACATCTTACAGTTCTGCAGGGCCTGTAAGACGGAGCTCTTCCGCCAGGCTTTTGGAGCCACCCCACCCCCACTGCTATTACCACCGGGAACACCAGCTGACATTGTATGGTCCACTGGACCCCTAATAACTGTCTGAGCCGATGGCAGCGCCCCCCCCCCCCCCCGAAGTATCTTCTTATGACATCCAGTGCAGACCAACGGTACTGACGCATAAGACTAGCACTTTATTATTATTTTTGGGTTTAACATAGTATTTTAACGTTGTGTTTATTATCTATACGTATTTTGGAATTCTGTCTGTTGTAAGCCTCCCTGTTATTGTAAGACTGTGACCACCATTTTAATGTATGTAATGGTTTTTAATATTTTAATTATTTATTCTATTAATGAAATGTTGCTTTTGTATTGATAACATGTTGTTGCCCACCCTAAGCTTACTCATGGGAAGGGCGGGCTATAGATATGAAAAAAAGAATGCCATTTAGTGCAACATTCCGTTTCTCTGGGGTCTCACAAACAGAGCAATAATGATAGTCAAGCTCCTGTTCCCAGCAACTAGAATTCAGCGGCTCACTGCCTCTGAACATGGAAGTTCTGTTCCTAGCCACAACAGTTCATAACCACCGATAGCTGTGTCCCCTGTGAATTTGTCTAATCCCTTTCTAAGGCTTATCAAGCCAGTGCTCTCTTGCGGCGGTGAGCTCCGTGAATTTGTCACTCGAAGAATTAGTTACCTTGTTTGGTACCACCACAAAAGGTATGATAAGAACATGCAATGTCACCTGTTCCCCCCC